TTCTTGCGTTTTTGCTTGATGGCTGGATTACTCTTCCAGGAGAAGCAACCTCTAGCCTGGTCTATTTATTTATTTTTTTTTTTAGCCTGAGGAAACGCAAGTCTATGTCTGCAACCGTGGTAGTTGCTAGCAGGGAGGCTGTAGGGACATCCAGTCCTTGGAGCCTGTACCCACGCTCAGGTTTGTGGGGCCAGGTGACATCGGTAAGGGCAAGCCAAGGAGCCAAGTACAAAGGTGTGAGAGCAGAAGTCTCCTCCAGCCGAGGAGCGGTCCAGCTTCTTGTGCAGGGGGGTCCCCTGCAAAAGGGCTCCTCTCCTGCTGTGGCTGGTGCCCAGCTTTGGGACAGAGGGACGGGGACGGTGGTGTGGCACGGGCTCCAACAGTGCCCTTCCCTCCCAGGGCTGGAGAGGGAGCGGGACTAATTCACATCTTAAATACGTACCCTAATAGAAGAAATGTTACTTACCCTGTTTCTCCGTTAGATCACTACTGTATCTTTGGAAAGGTTTCTTCTTGCTCCAGTGATGAGTCAGTCCATGGTTTTGCTCGGTAATACCAGTGCTGATTTGGGAATGCGAATTTTTTATTCACGGACTGATCTGAAGGCATTGCTTCCTTTCACCCTTGAGTTCGCTGAGGAAAAGAAGCCAACAGAGGTGCTCTCCCCTGCTGTGCTGCCCAGGGAAGGTGGTGTCAGCCCCTCACAGGTCTGTGCATGCCTGCTCCTTCTTGCCCTATACAATAACTCTGTACGGACATCAGGAAAAGTGATGTGAAGTGTCTAGAGGCAAGACCAGCTTAAGGATGCTCCCCTCTCGTTCCTGCATATCTGCTGCAATGTGCCGTGAACTCAACCATACCAGTAATAATTCAAAGTAAATTTGTTTAAGTGACTTTGTTTAGCAATTTGGTTCATAGCACATCGCCACAGCTGGCCTGCAGGCTACACCTGAAAGGGCGTCGTGCTACCATACAGCAGCCGGACAGCAGCCAGAGGATGATGGTAGAGGTTGAAACATATTTAAATCCTCTTTTTCACAGACCCTTTTGTACTTTTGAGCCTGCCCGTGCCAGTTTTCAATAGCTTGCAGCTTTTGCCTGGATGCCCATATCTACTTGACCCTATCTTTTAAAACTGAAGCATGAGTCTGGGAATTCAGGCTTTTTATTTTCCTTTTCTGCTCTCTAAAATTCACAGGGAAACTACTACTGTAAAATTCAACTTCAAACACAAGGAAAATGCGTTTAATGTTTCTTGGTATTTGGTTTGCCAACCACTGGATGTCAGTGCTGCTCCACTAAAGACAGGCTCTTCCCTGCCTCCTTCCCTGTGGATGTGAAGGAGGTGAGAACAGGGGCTCCTGATTTTTGTCGCTCAAATACTTGAGCAACATTCCGATTCCTTGGAACAAATAGCCGCAGAGATTAAAATATTTATTGCACGTCTCTAAAACAACTGCCGTGTTTCAAACCTTTGATTCTCAATGCAAGATGAGAGACAAGCTTGTGCTTAGGAGTTACTGCGGTCTGTTGGAGCTTATGGGCTTGATGAGTCAGTCTGTGGACTGTCCAATAAGTGAAATAAAGCCTCTGGAAAAAAGATGAAAGTATGATCTTACTGGAGGTATAAATGTAGTGCTTTTATAGCTTGCAAATGGCACATTTAGCAACAGATGATTTTTCAAGTTTAAAAGGAAAAAGTGGTGACAGATTTGAGACGATTAAGTTGGATATGTAGCAAAAAGCCTGTCTAGACCTTTGGTTTTATGTTTTAAAAATGTATTAAATACAGATCAAAAAATGCTCATAAACTGCTCATAGATGTGGTATTCAATTCAGGCTTTTGCAATAGGTTTGGCTCTTTTAAATTCTGTTAAGTTTCTTACTTTTATTACACTCTTCACCATTTTGCTCCTAAATATAACTTGCTTACACTGTAGGAAGTGGGAGAAATAACCAACCAAAAGATTTGGGATTTTTGCATTGTTCGTTTTGTTTCTGTTGTTGAAGGCAGTCTGAAATGTCGTAGCTGTCTTTCTTTTTAATAGGAGAGCAAAAAGTTTCCTAGGTAACCTGCTGAGGGTGCGGGTCAGTGGCACGGTGCAACCTGCATCGGATGCTACCTTCTCCTTTGAGGCAAAAGGTGCTATTAATTTCCACTGCCTTTTGCATGGAGCTCTTCAAGCTGGCATGCCAATTTTGAATGTAAAACACCCCATTTCCCTCCATTTTAACATAACAGTATCACTGAAATTAATCCAGGTGATTACATGTGTAAAGCAACGCAGTTCTGTTATTGATCTGTAATTAAACACACAACAGAAAATCTTTTACACAGCCAACTTAACACGCCTAGGGAGCATATCCGTTTTATCTCGGCAGATGACAAAGTAAGTTGTCGACAGCTTAAATGCTCGCGCTGCAAATGGAAGCGTTGCAATCTGTAATTAGCTGAAATCGTTTGAAGGGGATCTGTGGAAGGCACGCAGGCATCGGTGGCCTGAACTGTGCGTTTTAAACAGTCGCTCTAGCACTTGTGTTATTGGTGGCTTATAAATACAATTAGCTGCAGCTACTTCAGGCATTAAAAACAATGGGGCCGGAGGATGTTAGAGTCAGGAGACTACTTGTAGAGACTGTGGTGTTTCAGAGGTTGCTTACAGCATGGCAGACTAAGAGAAGAAATGTCTTATTAGATTGGACTTGGTTATAGACTGGTTTGATTCTGTAACTTTCTTTTCCCGCTGGACCAAAATTAATAGTATGTTTCTACCAATTTCTTTTTTTTTTTTCCCTGGTGGATGAGAAATATATATTGATGCTGTTCTCTGACAATAAGTGAAAGACATCCTTCTTTACCAAAGAAGTGCTATTTAAATACCTGTCAATGAAAGACATCCTTCTTTCCCAAAGAAGTGCTATTTAAATACCTGTCAATCTGTTATGTGAGTTCTTTCTACATTTAACTTAATTTATTTTCAGAAACTCTGATGATTTCTGATGATTAAGGCAAGTTCTTTTCAAACACAGGAATGTTTCTGTACATTTAAGCTTTTTATTGTACATAGGGAATTTAACTATGGAAGTTTGGGTATCCGTAAGTTTAAAAGTTTCTATTTGTCAAGAATAATTTCTTTAATACATGATAGTTGTCTTTGAAAAGTCAGATTCTCTCTAGTAGAGACTTTACTTGCTGAAAGATGAAAAAAAAAGGAAGTCTTTTGCCCATTGGAATCAAAAGTGCTATGTCTCTGGGTTTAGTGATAGGAATTGTATTATTATACTTGGGAAAGGGGCTAGTGATCAGGTAAGGAAACTTCAGGGGAGGACATACCTGGGCGGGTTGCAATTAGGGAGAGTGCGAACAATCTCATTTACGGAAGCAGTTGGAGAAATGGACATTACAATTGCAAATGAAATCCATTGCTGATAAATGTGGTTAATAAATATCGGAAAGTGTGGACTGTATTACTCATATTGCTTGTTTCTAAATCATCTGTAATCCCTCAGGAAAAAAAGACCCGATTCCAGGGCCACAGTGAAATTGAAACGCGGCATGTTTTAAATGGATAGAGAAGTGCTTTTCCTGGCCCGCCAAGCTGGAACCCAACGATACAGATGCTTAAATCGAAAAAATTGAATAGTGACATTTCCTATGTCACCCTTTCTGACACTAGTTAGTCTTGCACAATCAATTGATGCAACTGTGATCTGTCATGTTGGCTGCTAGAAAGATGTGTGTTATAGCCAAAAATATGCTTGATTGAACCTCTTACTTCAATGTCCATTCAATGCATTTGTAGGGTTAGAAACTCTTTATTTTGATGAAGATTTGTGTTCTTCGTTACTGTGAGAGCATTTATTGTCAAATTTTATATAGGCATTACATTTTCAAATTATCTATAAATTCTTGGCCTTTTTCTAAAATTTGGCAGCCCTTCAGTGTTCAGTTTCTCACTTTATTCCTTTGAGTTTTCTGCATTATTTTTGTTTGGTTTCTCACCTCTTTCTTTTCTTTGGGTTCCCCCCCTTCTCCTTTCTTTCAAGGGAGGAACCCATTGAAACTGGGCCAGGTTTGAAACTTGTCCTTGGCAGTCTTTTTTATTTATTTATCTATTTATCTTCATTTGTATCTCTTTAAAAAAAATATGTACAATTGCACAAATTTGGGCAAAGCTGTGACCTTCTTACATCTGGTGAAGCAGGTGACTCTGCATTTTGACAACAGCAATGGAGGGTTGAATGGGTTTGGTAAGGTTGGTGTTTTCAGGTATAGCAAACATAGCTAGAAAGTTTAACTGTGAATAACAAATACTAAAGATGATGTCTTGTCTGCCAAGGGATTACATTTTTCCCAGGAGCAGCTATGTCTTTCTGACAGCTTTTGCAAATGGAGACAGTTTTATGCAGAGCAGCTGCATTTCACGTGCTGCTGTTGTACGTCTAGCAAGTTCACTTACTACATTTAAATCTATTTTATTGTGAAAGGGCAGAAATTAATGAGTTTGGCCTTGCCACAGCAATGTTTGTAACTTTGCTAATTATGCAGGTTCTGCATGTGGACTGTATAAAGCCAACAGAAACACTTTATAGACACTCCTTCTACAGGGTTAATCTGATTTAAAGAGGCTTAGAAAAAAACAGCACTGTCTTACCGAGTGTTACATAGCAGGTGAGCCAAATGCACAGTCCATCCTAAATCGAGATACCTGACGTTTTGTAGAGGACCACCGTCTTGGCAGCCGCAGTCTGGGGCTTTTCTTCCACTGTTCTGAAGGAAGCGTGTAGCTGTTGGGGCAGGAGTTGTGGTTCACCGGCTGCATCCTGCAGGATGGGAATCTGTATCTGGATCCCCAGGAGGGAAAAAGACTGACTGGCTGGAAGCGAGATGCTCTTTGAGCCTCCTACCTCTGTGCTGCACTCAAGCTGTATTACCTTTTGTATCCTATTTCTCTTCAATCTGAAGGATAGGCATCGGTGAAGACTTCATTTGCACAAAGATGTTGGTAAGCAGTTCTGTAAATCACAGTGTGAAAACTAATGAAATCAAATCTTTTTACAGATGCAAATACTGGCATTACGATGATAACCTGCTCACCTCCAGCGTTGTCATTGTCTTCCATAATGAAGGATGGTCCACGCTGATGAGGACGGTCCACAGTGTCATTAAGAGAACACCAAGGAAATACTTGGCAGAAATTGTGCTGATTGATGATTTTAGCAACAAAGGTATATTTGGAGTATTAACACATTACTTGCAGGAAATGAAACTTTTTTTTCTTTAAATAGTTTTCTTTTGATTTATTACCTACCATGGATTGAGTTGACTCTGCAAGAAAAGTAAGTTGCTTCTTCACGGTCTTTTCAGTTTTCAGTGAAGGGAAGGCTCTTTTCCGATGAACTGCTTTCATAAAGGTGGCAGTCCTCTATGTGTACTTAACTGTTTGAAATAAAGGGTTTGTTGTGGGCTCTCGCCCACAGTTGTGGAGTAGCATATAGTAGGAAGCTGGGGTAGCTAGTACCTCTCTTAGCTCTTATGAAAACAAATAGTTTTAAGAGTATTGAAGGAGTCTGAATTAAGCCTGTTAGGAATAATTTGACTTATTCTGATTCATTTTCAATACCTTTTTAATTTCCAACATCCTTTTTTAATGAAACATCACATTAAGGTGTTTATTGTTTCTTATTGGGAGGGAGGGGCTTTTAAGAATTTAAGTGTGTTTTAATTTCTGCCTTCAAGTCCTGCAAATCAACATTTTCAGAAGTCCAGAGATTTTCCTCTTCCTTAGTAATGTACATTCTGGTCTTGGTTTATAGTCAGGATGTATATACTTGCATGTGATTCTTACAAACATAAACATACACTGACTTTTTTTCCTTTAATGGTGATGTCTTCAGTGTTAATGCAAATCAAGGCTGAATACGGAGGAGAACTGAAAGTGGTATGCTAGAGATAGAAGATGATTGATATAGAGGAAATCTGTCTGGTTTTAAACTTTAAACAAATTTCAAAATAGTGCACCAAAGCTGCGCATTCTGGAAGATTTTGTTGCAGCGTAGTTCTTGAATAGAAGTTGACAGAGGAAAAGAGCAGACACATAAATAAAAACGTAACTTTGAGTATGCGGCATGACGGAGTCTTCTGGACAATGATGGTGATAGCTTTTAGGAGCACAGGCAAGTTTGAACTGGTCAGCAGCCCAGGATATGTTCCCTTTACCCTCCTCTTTGGTTTTATAATAGCTGAATTGGGTAGTGGCATGGAAAGCAATGACTCTGTTCTGAAACTCTCCATGTTATCAAGTGATCTGGGCTTCTCCAGCCTCACAGGAGGAGTTGTTTTCTGTGCGGATACCAACTATAAATTTTAAAACTGAACTCATCGCATAGGTGGGGTTGCCTTTTTTGAGTATAAATTGCTATTAAAAATAGCTATTGTATGTTAATTTTTACATCGTCCTTGTAGGTAGGTATCATTTTCTGTTTGTTTTTACAGGACAGGGAAAGTTACCTGTGTTGTAAACTTGCCTGCATCTGGTTTAGTCTAAAAAGGTTACTGAATGCTACATTATAGTCTCCTGTATCCTTTAACAGCTGTTGAGAATTTGGCTTAGATATACACACACGCTATAAAACAAAAATATCTTCTCTCCTAAGGGTTATAATTTTAATAATTCAGTCAGCAGACATGTGCTGTGTTTTTCCTTTTCAGCTGGGATCACAGCCTTCCTTCAGAGCTATTCAAGGACTGAGTTAGCTGACTAAAATAACAATGACACTGATGGTCTCTAGAAAAATTACCAGATTTTTTTACTAATGATTGGACTCAGTACTTGGGTTTCACATGAGTTATAGCTGACTCTGTGCTATATGTATGTAATTCATGGAATGGGTTTGTGTGGTGTAACAACTCGTACTACAGTTTTCCAATATATGGCGATTGTTAAATAAAGGCAGTATTTTTCAAGAAATTTGTTTTGAAATACAGAACTTTAATTATGCTTTCTGCTCGTATATGAATGGTTAGCAGATACAGGTAGCCTGGACCTAACATCCAGCAGACCCTTGTCTCTGTATTTCCCACACTTCGTTTTCCCAAACAACTTCCTTGAGTCAGAGAATTCAGTAAAGCAAGCTCAAGATGCAATTTTCTCATGTATGAGTGACTGGAAAACAAGCACGGACTGGAATGGTTCTGAACACCTTGCTGCAGCTGTACTGTTTCACTATAATAATTCTTCAGACTGCTTTAGGCTATTACTTGGTAAACATAATTAACTTAATTTCAGTAATTCAAATTGCATTCTAGATGAAAAATGGCCAAGAGAGGAGAATCTTGCTCCACTTTTTTCTCCCCAGAGAGACGCATGAGCTAGTACGGGCTGCAAAGCGTGCCAAGCCGCCTGCAGAGATCTCCAGTTGTTAGGAGAGCTGCAAAACACAAACACTCTTAATCACAGCAGAGCTGCTGGTGGCTTTTTGCTTTTCCAGCCAGAAGCAAAGCGATGCTGACAGCACAGATACAGGATTTTCTCCTTCCCCACCTGCTCTCAGTTCATATCTGCCTTTCCACCCAGCAAAGAGCGGCTTACCCTCTTTGAGGCCAATGTTGAGGGATGCAGATGCTGGACTGGGTCGATGTTTGCTCACGCTCAGTGTGGCTGTCCTTATTTCTTAGCCGCCACTTTCTCCAGCAATAGGAAAGTGAAATGGAGCATAGTGGTTCTAAAGGCTGGCTCATAAAGAGCCCTGCCTGTCCTCCTTTTTGAGAAATCCTCTTTCATCAGAAGGGAGTTACAGCTGCATAGAAGCTCGTATGTGTTGTGCCTTACCGGGAGGAACAGTTGCAATGCTTGGAAAATGTTCTTTTCATTGTAATTCTGTCTATAAAGTCAGTTGGGAGCCGTCTTTTTGCTGAACAACACTAGCCCTTTCCTTCCTTCCTCTTCTGCAAACAGCGGGGCTTGGCTCTGCAGGACTGCGCGGAGAGGTGTGCTGAATTCTGCTTCGGCATTATTTTCTTTGTCAAAGCACAAAGGGAGCAGTAACAAGAGGATGACACCAAGCTAATTGAACGATGCTACTTCTGATAGTTCGGTGGAGACCTCTGTATTAATGCATGTCAGGCTGGCCGCGTTGCTGAACCTGGGGTTTTTTCCCCTCAGTTTTTCTTGTGTTTCTTGATAGAAGGAAGCAGTTTATTTTGCTGTGGGTGCTAGCTGTTCTGAAAGGGGAATGAGAATTCATAAAGTCAGATTTTTCTGAAGCTCCCTACAGTTACGGTTGTGTATATAGGTCTTCAGTGGCTACTTGTTACGTATTTAGGTACCAGCTTCATTTCTTTCTGAAGTGTAGAGGTCAATATCTCAGCGGGTGCAGCTCGCTTTTGTAGCCCGTGCACCCGTGAAGAGTGCCTGCAGGGTAAATACCAGTGTTCTAGTAGCATTTAAAGGCTCTGTCTACCTTTTGCATTTACTTATTTTGTTTCTTTATCGCTATCTGTATTTCCCACTCATGCAGCATCCCATAAGATAACCAAAGGGGAAGTAATGAGCGTAGACAGGTAACAGTATTTTTTATTAATGTGTTTAACAGCGCTTGCAGTGAGGAAACTGAGGCATTAATCAGTGCTTGCGTTAGGGCTGCAAGCCCCACATCAGTAGTATCACGGTACCGGGGACTTGGAGGCAGCTGCTGTAGGGAGGACGTCTGATAACCGTTTTTCTAGTTCATGACGTCCATGAGTCAAGGGGAAAAAAAACTGCTTTCCTCCTCCCCCCCCCGCCTTGTAATCTGCAATGCCTAAGATCTTTTGGAGAACGGACGTGTTTTTCAAAAACATTGATTCATGCTTTAATCATGCACTGAGACATGAGAGAACCACCCAAACAAGGGAGGACCAGATCAGTGGATATAATATTTTGAAAAGTAAAATACATGTTTTTAAACAAAAAACCAGGATGCTGTAAGGCTGTTGACAGATACCATAAATACACGTTCTAGGTGAACAACATTTAACGCTGGCCAAACAGTATTTCAAACTGTAAAAGTATCAGGATTTTATACACTACTGTCATGCAGGCTTTGTAGTATGGGAAAGAGGGGAAAATTCAGTTTTCCTGTGGGAAATAGCACTTGCTGCTAACCCTGGCACCGTTTCAGGTAATGGACTGCAAAGTCCTGAGAGTTGTACTGTAGAAAAGCTTTACACAATCAGTATGACAGATTTTTACAGCTCCCTGTGAGCCTTACATAGTTGAACATTTGATGACTAAAACATTTGGCTTCATAGGCAGGAGAGCTGGAAATAACTTCAGGTTTTAAATCTTTAAAACATTCCTGGCAGTCCTTCTGTAACATGTACTTGGAATTTGCAGAATAAATAATGGTGTGGTATAAAGATTCTCTTAGTACCACTTCAGTATGACCTCATAACTCCATTGATTTTATCCAATAAAAATTTATATCACAGCTATCGTATCATATATTCTATAAATATACATGGCCTGTTACTCTATACAGAGTATGTGATAAAATTGTTCTTTCTCTAGTTTGATATTTATGTATCCTTGAAGTTTTCCTAATGCAGAAGGATTTACAAAAGAAATTGTAAATGTTTGTGGGAAAGGAGAAAAGGATACGTAAAACTTTTAGTTGAGAAAACTTACTCTCTTATAAAGGTGAAGAGGAGGGATAAGAGCATTAAAAGATAGTGGTTTCAGAAGATTGTTCTTCATTAGAATTATTGAATTTCCAAGTTTGGAAACTTCACTTCCAAAAAACACAATTTCCATTTCAATTATTTATATGCAGCTTTTGTTTAAGCTAGAATTTTTTTTTAATACTGTTGGCAAAAATATAGCACATATTGAAACATAAGTTGCAGCAAGCTCCAGACTTCAATCATTTTCATTCAGGGTACAGAAAGTGTTGCTGCTGAAAGGGACATCCTTCTCCTGCCACCTCTGCACGTCCCCTCACCTATGAGACCGGCGCAGGCACGGCATCTCGCAGCCCCTCGGAGCTGGTGCAGACCTTGGCTCCAGCTTCTTAGGTGGCTTATTTTGGTTCCTGACCGAGACAAACTGAAGTCGTAGGCAATTCTTTTGAACTTTTCAGTACAAAAATAGCTTTTAAGCCAACACCGGTAGTTAAATCAGCGTAGCCTCAAACAGCAAGCGCCTGACTGCCAGCCCTCCTTCTGCCTTTGTGAGTTTTCTCAACAGAATCATCTGTGCAAAAATATTACACAACGCTAGGATCCTTTTTTCGAATTGTGTGGTAGGAATGTGGTTTCCAGGCTAGTTTGGCAAAGACCAATGTCCACATACAAATGTGTAACCGTTTAAGCGTAGCCCGTCTTGATTTTTATGCAGTTACTCGTCCCTTTACTGACCAAGTCCCTTTGGCTAAAGGTTTCCTGACTCATCAGCACGATGAGCCACAGCTCTTTCACTGCAATTCTGGCCCTCCGATTATTGTTATTATTTGTTTCATTAGAAGATTAGCATAAGACCACCCCAGCCCCAGGAGGGAACAGGTCTAGATGAGGGAGGACAGTAATTTGAGTATGGTGAGTTTCTGCCTCAGGTTTCCAGAATTAATAGACTGACGGAAAGTGTTGTGAGGCAGAAAGTGAGTGAAGATAAATGTTTAACTGAAAAGTGATGCCTTCAGCTGTACCTGGGACATTATCTGATGAGGAAGGACCGTGTGCTGAAGCGTAGAAGCTTCTCTGCCTGGTTGAAATAGAGGCGAAGACCTGAAAGCCAGTGTGTGATGTATTGAAGTGACTGGGAATTATCCACCCAGCTCCCCCGTGGTGTGGCTTCAGCTGCTGCTTCTTCAGAGGTGCCGGAGACAAACCTGCACCCTGGAGTCCAAGAGCTCCAAGTCTTCCTCTCTCCAAGTTTAGTGTTTGTGAGCGGTAGTACAAGCAGTTGAGTTAAAGATTCTCATAAATGTCTGTAGACGTTTGTAAGTTGGATTTGGGCTGTATTAAGAATACAAAACTGTTTATTATTAAACTTCACCAAAATATTTTTTTTTCTTTGTTATTTGATAGCACACTTACAAGAGAGGTTGGATGAGTATATTAAGCAGTGGAATGGCCTTGTAAAGGTATTTCGAAATGAGAGGAGAGAAGGTTTAATCCAAGCCAGGAGCATTGGAGCCCAGAAGGCTAAGCTTGGTCAGGTAGGAGCCGATTCACACACAAATCTGTCTTTTTGTTCTTTTTTGGGGGGGAGAGGTGGTGGTAGTTCCATGTTCAAATAGATGTGTAGAAATGTAGTATTGTATTCTTGATACTGGTTTTAAGAGATTAATTTTACTCATTCAAGCTTCTTTTTTTGTTTATAATATGAAAGTATTTCAGAGTAAATACGCTTAATTAAATCATCGTGACTTCATATACAGAAATATAAATTACTTTTTTTTTTTTTTTTTGCTTTTGAAGGTTTTGGTTTACCTTGATGCCCATTGTGAGGTGGGAATTAATTGGTATGCGCCACTTATAGCTCCTATATCTAAGGACAGGTAATGTTCTCCCGTTATTTCCAGTGTCTGGCCTCTTGGGAAGAAAACATCACAGTAACAATCTTCACATTTCAAACTGTAGTCAATAGGTTGTATATCTATGTCAATATATAGCGATATCAAAGTATACCGATATCTGCTGTCCAATGATTTTATTATCTCCCAGCATAAAAGCTATGTAAGGAGGAAGGAAAATAGTGAGGCAAATAAATCTCCGGATAGCTTATTTTAATAGGCATACTGAATTATTTTGCTTAGTATAGATTAAATATAAGACAGCTGTTGTCCTGCGACAATCTGAGGGATCGTTATAGAAATGTTCTGGCTAAATAGGGAGCCTGATTAAACAAAATACCTACACAAGAATGTAGTGGAATGAGTGGAAAAGTAGCAGTAAGTGTTTTGATTTAATGGGGATTTAAAGCCCCTGTGACCTCTATATAACTTTCTCATCTTTAGTCTTGCAATGTGGTCGTATTTGTTTCCTGCGAAGCACTTTGGAGCGTTGTCGGTAGCGAAGTGAGGCCAGGGCTTGAGCCTGTCTCTGCCGCAAGCCCAGGCACTTGCTGGGAGCCAGCGGTGGAAACGCCTGCGCTGCGTGCGTGGGATCTGTGAGAGGTGACAGCCGAGGGAGATCTCCTGGGGCTTCGTTTCTTCCCAGCTGTTGAAACGCTGTTGTTTCTGTGTGCTGCCGCACTCTTAGCTTGTGTGGTCAGCTGGTATGTGTGTTTAGGAAACCGTGTGCTTGTTTAAACTCCTTAATCCCATAAAAATAACTGCTTAATCCTAAAAACTATTTGTTAACCTGTCGTACTACCAGAACTTTCCTGAAGAGGTGAGCTTTGTGTGTTTTAAAGGCTGTAACTCAGCGTCAAGACTATGTTTGGGCCAGGATACTAGAGAGAAGGTGGAAACGCTTGCATGCTTCCGTCGAGTGCGTGTTGCTCTTTTACACAAGAAAGGCTGGTGAGAACAGACATCCTCCGTCACCGCCCATGGAAGCAGAGGGTATGCCGAGGCACACGGTGCCGGAGGGCAGTGCTCGGCAGCCTTCTTCCAAGCCCCCAGTACCCTGGGTGCAGCCTGCTGCCGCTTCTGCCTCAAAGAGGAGCACGGCATTAGCGTTTCTTTTCCCCTCCACTTATTTTTCTGTCCGTAGGATTTGACTTAAAAAGATGGAAATGCTCCAAGTTTGGTCATTGGGAAACTCGTGTGGAAAATCTGGGGAGAATAACAAGATCATGTCTTTTTCTTGGTGAAGATTGTATGTGATAGATCACAATGAGGAGCATATTGCAAATCACACAGGAAAAATCCTACTGAAGACTGCTGCCTGGAGAGCACCAGTGAAGTTGTTTTTATCCTGAGAGGCTGGATTTGCAGGGCACTTGAATAGGACAAAATAGTGAAAATCCATGTTTACATTAGTAAAAGCTGAGGGCTTATCCTACTTGTTGACAGCTAAGATCTGATATGAATAGAAATTATGGGAAATAATAATACTGTAAGAACCCTAGCCCTCTAAGGGCTCCTCTGTTGCCTCCAGCAGTGCTTTGTTAGAAGACCAATGTCAAGAAGTACACGTAAAGCAAAAAGTGCTGATAAACGAATTGATATGTTAGCATTTCAGACCTAACTTTTCTGCTTTCAGAACTTCTTAAAACAACATAAAGAAAGGACTGTCTCTTTTTTTTTTTCTTCTAATGAGGCTTCATTTTTTAATAATATGTTCACAAGTGACTTGTTACATACGCTGTTCTCTAAGCTTAATAATTAACGGTGTAAATTTCAGATTAGACAGATTACTGTTCTGAAATTGTATTTTGCTCTTTTTTTCCCCTCTATAAACGTTTCAGAACTACATGTACTGTACCTCTAATAGATTACATAGATGGGAATGATTATTCCATTGAGCCACAACAAGGTGGGGATGAAGATGGTTTTGCCAGAGGGGCCTGGGACTGGAGTTTGCTGTGGAAACGAATTCCGTTAAACCACAAGGAAAAGTCCAAACGAAAACATAAAACTGAGCCTTATCGGTAAAGAGAGCTGTTTACATATTGTGAATCGTAATGAATAATTGTCTAAAACCTTTCGTTTTTCCCTCCCACCCCCTCCCTCTTTTCCCGTCGACTATGGTCGGTGCACGGGTGCCACGCGGGTCCTTGCACACGGCCGCATCTTCCCTGCCACCGTCCGCCACCCTGCAGAACCACATGCACTGTGCCACTTATAGATGTCATAGATGGCAACACTTATAAGATTGTGCCCCAAGGGGGTGGTGACGAAGATGGGTTTGCTAGAGGAGCGTGGGATTGGAGTATGCTATGGAAGAGGGTTCCCTTGACCAAGCGAGAGAAGGAAAGCAGAAAGACAAAAACTGAACCGTATCGGTAATCACTAAATCACTTACCCGTTTCTATTTTTTTCTGAAGTCAATATTGATCCACTAAGATTTGCATGTACTTCCAGCCTGAAAAATCTTCCTATTTCTAACCGCGCCAGCTGCTTTGTTTAATCAGACCTGTTTGCCACAACTATTTGCCCAAAATACCTTTGCTACCTTGCGTTGCCTCTCCGTTCCTGCTCTTGTGTGGTTAATAGGGTGCATATTAGTACGAGAGGGTTTTGTTTGGCAAAATAAAATGTTGTGTGACTTTGTTTCCAGGGAAAACTTTATTTAGCTATGATTTTTTTTTTTTTTTTTAAAGTAGTGTTGGAAACAACAGTGCTTGTTTAACCATTTGATTTGAAATAATGAGCATGCTGTTAGTATTTATAATGACTGGTAATGCATAAAATCTGTAGCCTGCTGTCATGGCTGGATGCATGCATACAGCTCGTGGATTATGCATGTGCATCAAAAAAAATCCCTTTTGTCATTTTTCTCTAACTTGCTTCATAATAGATTGCATCTGACAAAGAAGCATACTGTTTAAGAATCTTGCTAGATATTTTCTAAGGTCTCAGTATGTTTGGGGATTTTAATTAAATACACATAGCATTAAAAAAAAAAACCCTACCACCTCATTTTCTGGGAAAACTCCAATAACTTTCACAGAAGTCCCACCTTTTTCTTACGCATTGTAGTGGGGTATGTTTTTTTTTCCCGCAAACAGAAACTGGCTAGAAACCCTAGCTAGAAACCAGGGTTTCTGGATGGCTTTTTCAAGACTGGGAGACTGTGGTTCTGCTGTTTTTTATTACTTTCCCCTTCACACTTAACTAATCGTGTTACTACATTTGAAAGCAATCCTCACATCTTCAGAATCTAATGTCCTCTATTGCTTGTATATATGATTTAAACATTGTAAGAACTGATGTTGGTAATTCCCTATCCTCACCCGTGATTGTTCTCTGCTAAAATGGCAACACATGCAAGGAAGTTATGAAGCTTTGATCTGGTTTGTATACAGTATAAATAATACCATTTTCTGACAAGGCTGTCCACATTGGAACTTTAATATTCGCTTAGAGGGGGATAAACTATTTCAAACATCTCTGTTGTGTTCTGTGTTTACCATCCAAACAGGTCTTAAAATCCTTTAAAGTGTTCCCAGAAACACAGAACACATGTTCTCAGAATGGTTTAAAAGATTACTTTATTTTTAATAATATTTTTGGAGTTACAATGCTTCTTTTTTAAAAAAAAACATTCCCTACATCTGTTTATGTCCAGGCTGTATGCATTTTGTTGCAGCAAAACCAAGGCAAGTAAGACCAAGTAAAAGTCTTGCTGAAACCATAGCCAGGATTGCTTACTTTAGAAAGAAAACAAACAAAGAAAAATAAACCGCAACAGCTTAAAGCGCAGAAACAAACTTTTTGTAATGTGAGAATTGCCCCAGGACTGAATCCTCCTTTAATATTATGCTTACCTCTTAATATAAAATAAACTACAGAGGTTACGCGGATTTTAGCGTCTTCTGTCACACACTTGACAGCACGTTGGAGACTGAAACTTCAGCATCGGAGGCCTCTACACTTGCCAAGTCTTTATGGTGCTGAGGAAGACCCAAAATGCGGGGGGCCACAGGGCTGTGCCGTGCAGCGTGCCTCTCCCCGCCGTGCTTGCTGGCTTCCTGCCCTCTGAACCCCTGGGATGCCAGAGCAGAGGAAAATACAGGAGGCAGACAGGTAGAAGGGGACATTTAGGAGTAACTCAGCATCTGACCAGGTGATTTGGAGAGCAACTAAACCGATAACCGTTAGGCTTAACTCAGCTGATAGAGCCAGTAGCTCTGGTTTTGTTGTTGCCCTGCCCTGCTGTGTGGAGCAGGTATATGTTAACCTTACGGTTACTTTTGCTTAAGCAGCTCTCCTCCAGATGTTTATGCTCGGAAGGGAAATATGTAATCATTGCTGTTAAAAGGAGCACCACTAAGTTACAAATCTAATGGGCCAAAGCGACTCAATAGTGCTAGAAATGACCCATCTCTCAAGAATTTGCTTACAAAGGGGTGTTACACTTGTGTTTTACTTGGCTCACCAGAGTGATCCAAACTCTTGGATTTTCCTCCTTTCAGTGCTGCAGATCATCTGAAGTCAGAAAGAATTCATTTTTTCCTTACCAGCTTCTTTTTTTTAAATTGCCACCTTAGTAGGGACTTCAGCTTGTATCCATTAGAGTTTTTATGTATTTATTGATCCTCAGGTGAAAAATGCTTGGTATGTGCGCTGGAAATGGTTTAACATATCCTCCTCTCTATTTCAGTGTGAGCAAGCTACCGAAGAATTTTGGTTAGAGCCGTTCTGCAAAAATGCTCTAATCCAAACCACAGTGTCTTTTTGACACATTAAAACTTGCTAATTGAACCTTGGCGTACATGGAGGGATTTACAAAGCCATTTCAAATAAAAACAACCTAAACCAAAATGGAAACCTTGTCCACCTTGATCCAGGCCCTCTTCAAAATTTTACTGAGTATAATGAAAAGTGTCTCTATATGGCAGTGGCAGAAAAAGAACCAGAGGGAGAAGACAGGAAGGTATCATTTAGCTGGAAAAACTGTTGCTTATTTAATAGACAGTAAGTTTCAATGTGGCAGCTCCTCAGAACGTAAGTCTATGTCTGTTATACAGTCTCATCTGTTATCTCAAAAACTTGAAAAACTTTCAAGAGAGAAACAGCTTATCACACTGATTCTTACCTTTTTTTATTTTAATGAAAGCATGCTGACTGAATGGATAATTCCAACCAAAATCTTGTATAATTAAATGAAAAATCAAAAAAAAAAAACCCACCAAACTCTGTGACTTCACTAGAAATTATACAGATGTCACTTTGGAAAATTGCTGGAAGCTGATGACAAAGCTTTATGATTTTTTTCAGTGTATTGCCATTTATCTAATCTTTATTATATGTTAACAGTGAATTGCTTCCTTAATTCATGCTTTCTCTGCGTGTTATCATATCCTTTTGGCAGAAGGAGTAACGCTGTCTTCCTCTTTCAGGTCCCCTGCAATGGCTGGTGGATTGTTTGCCATTGAACGCGATTTCTTCTTTGAACTGGGTCTCTACGATCCAGGGCTTCAAATTTGGGGTGGTGAAAATTTTGAAATTTCTTACAAGGTAATACCGAAAATTGAAAACTAATGCAGTTTAGTAGATCTTTTTTTCTGTAAATACTTCTGTTTGGGGTTCGGACAGACCTACCTCTGATTTGCACCGCCTCTGCCTCACGAAGCCTGGAAGGTTTTGTTGTGAGGAGGTGTTGTGGCAGAGATGTCTGTCCTCAGTGTTTCCTTGTGGGCTTTGGGGCAGAAGGGTTCGGAGAGGTGGCCTAGTGCCAAGACCCAAATGCTGAATATTCTAGATTTTGTTAATAGTTTGGGATCGCACACACCCCGCTAAAGGTCTAATCTGAAACCAGACTGGCAGATTCGATGGGATGGGGGGAACTGAGTGCTCTCATGGTAAGCACAGAAAAAATGTTATTTCTAATGAAAGTGATTATAGAGAACAAGTAGCACTCAGTTTACACATAGATGCCCGTAAGGTATATAACGATGCAACGAAACGTAATCTGCCCTGGTTTCCTCCTCCCTACCATTTTTATGAGTGAAAAATGATCTCATGTACTTTTCTAAAATTTCAAGAACTTCTTTACAGGCAAAGTCTTTGTAATTGAAACGCTAACTGCATAATTCCTAATCACTGCAGGAGATTCTATTTTCACTCCTAGGCATATGCAAACTCTTCAGTTAGCAGGAAACGTAAGATGATAATCATTAGCTTCTTGTAACTACAGTATTCGTAATGACACAAGTGGCAGACAGCGGGAATCTGTCCCAATTGCCAAACAAAAATGGAGACATCTAATACCCTCAGCAGCAATCTGCGAAATCGTAGCTGAATTTTACTAAAAGTGCATTCAGAGCTCCCCTAGCTGCTCTTGCTCTTCAGGATTTTGAGGAAAGCTCTGAACGCGCTTGCTCAGCTGTAAATCCATATGCAAAAGGTAGTTATTGAGGATGTTACACATACAGGGTCTTTATGCTTCTAATTCTCCATCTTGCTTAGAGCTAAATCATGATTGAAATTACATACAGTAGTTTTGTAATTGAAGTGCTGATTATGTAGAGACCCCCAAACTGGTTTCGTGTAGATCACAGCCAATCTTCAGAAGAACTAAAGAACATTTATCAGTCTTGCGTGCTGACTCCTAGATAGCATATATAATGGCCTTGTATATCTGTGGGGGGGGTGGTGTGGAGAGAGATTAAAGAAAATAAATATGATGATGAAGGGAGTAACTATTCTACCCATCTTCCCTAATACTGTTAAGTCCTATTTTTGATCTGGAATTTGGACTAATTTGGAACAACCCCAGAGTTAGCTTGAATTTGGATTTGATGCTATATTTCAGACTTGTCAAAACTATGAGCAACTAAATTCAGATTTAGATATGATTTCCCCCATAAATGGATTATCCAAGGACGTGTGGGAGGGAGTGAGTTTCAGAATGGTAATATGTTTTAGCCATTTTTTATTTTCAGCTACTATAGTTAAAGAAAAAATTGTTTCTGCTTGGAACCAAGGGTTACCAAAGACATCTTTATCTCTTACTAGTCTTTATTAAGAAAAACTTAGATGTGATGGGCGTCTAAGCAAAACCCATCTTAGTGAAGGTGTGTGAATTGCTTTAAGAAAACCAAAATATTTTTAATTCTGTCATAATAAAAATCACCCAGTTCAAGATTTTGTGCACTCATTCGTTACTGTTGTTTTAAAATAGCAATGGAATGAGATGGCAGACTTTTTTTAAAGCTGTTTTAAAAAATAATCTAGTTGAGTAATTTCATGGCTGAGTTGAAGATGTACTCAATACAGCCTTTCATTTCGGAGATGTTTATGGTTACATCTGAAGCGAAAATATTTAAATGTTTCGCACAGTTGGTATAGTAAGAAAAGTAGTTCACATTTCTTCCATAATTTATTATCTATTTGTCTGTATTAAATTCCTGTGCATATATGTTAATAATACCTTTGCTTTAATTTGTAGATCTGGCAGTGTGGGGGAAAACTGTTGTTTGTTCCCTGCTCTCGTGTTGGACACATCTATCGTCTCCAGGGCTGGCAAGGAAATCCACCCCCTGTGTACGTTGGGTCTTCTCCTACATTAAAGGTACTATTTTGCTGCAGCCTTGAAGGTGGCTTCTGATTTTAGACAACAACGGTTTTAAAGAAATCTATTTAAATTATCAGTAGCAATTTAGAGAGCACTTCATCCGGAGCTACTTAATGTCTGAAGCTAACGTGGTCATCCCCATGGGAGGGAAATCTTTGTACCAATCCTGCTGTTACTAAGAGCAGAGATTCCTGGAACCCATCTTCTTGCTCTGCCTCTCCCCATCTTTGAGGTACAAATCACATTTCCTGTTAACTCACTCTCAGTACCCCAGGCCTTTGCTGCACTGTGCCCAACTGAAGTATGAACAACTCTAGTAACTACAGCACGCTGCTGGAGGTGATGATCACGCGTTTAAAATCCCCCTTCGGTTTGATAGGCTGTGATCCTAGGCTGAGTTAGCGACCGCTGTAATCTAGCATCTATCAGACTGTTATGGCTGCGTTTGGTAATGAAGAAGCAGTGAATGACACCTGGGGAAGTAGCGTGCTCTGCACTTCATCTTAAAGGTTGGCAACTCCTCAGGCACCTTGCAGGTTCAGAAGTGTTGCTGAAGCAGTGATATTAAAAGTAGACATTGCCTCGAAAAAAGAGTGAACCATCTGTCTATACCTGAAGAGAGAATTTTAATCAAGGAAAACTCTCCCATGTATGTTTGCATCTACCAGCAGAGAGAGAGAGAGACAACCCTCCTATTAAGGTTTCCTATTGCCTGCTGTAAGCTTTCTCTTGTACGGTGTTTTGTCATTGGTAAATCCTGTTCCCCAAAAGACCCAGTTTTTGTAAATTCCAATCCCAGAGCCATCATCCTAGACGTTACCTGTGACAATGACTACTGGTTACAGAGTATGGCTTGAGCCAAGCTAGTGGTCAGTTCTGTTGAAAAGGGAACGTTGCAGCCTAGCTTAATGGTAGAAAACTAACCTGACACCTAAAAAAAAAAAAAAAAGGGCCTTTATTAGTGTGTGAATTGATTAACATTTTGATCAGACAAGCAGTAGGACCGGTACAAGGGAGGGCAGGGGGAAATGGGCATAGCTGGGAGTAGAGGCAGAGCAATGGGAGGCAGCGTAGCAAATGATAGCTCCATTGCTCAGTGCAGGCGAGGAGTTTGTTTGCCTTGCCTGAAATTATGAAAACCATTCACTCTTGTGAAAAGCTGATCAAAAATATTTACTGCATATCTAAACACGTTACCTGAGTCTGCTCGTCTGGTTACTGAATACAACAAAACACTGCTAAGTGTTCTTAAATATTGCATTGTTTCTCAGTACAAGGAAGGATGCAGGAAGAGCTTTCTCCCTCTTCGGCCACCCTCCGATCCCCATACTAAATGGCTTTTTTATAGCTTTGTTCAATTTATGCTGGGTGTGGATTAAAGGAAAAGTCACAATAATTTGTACCTTCAGTCAGCTATGTTAAGACTGTTTTAATGCCAGGTCATTAATACTAGAAGAACTGTACAAAGTGAGGTGTGGATCTAGTACACGTACAGGTAATACAGAGATAAGAGCCAGCAAAGAGACTGAGAAGAAAGATGTGAAGGAGAGGCTTGTCCACCGGGCGAGCTATCCATTTTTTTCCCCTTCTCCAAGCAGCAGTACAACTACTTTACTAAGAAGAGAAAAATCTCCTTGGTGTGTCATAGTTGACCCGTTTAAGACTTAATTTTTTCATCCTCAGTGGACTAATGCATCTGATTCTCTGTATTAAAACTGTATGAAGGTGAATAGAAACTCTAAATTGCAGTTCTGGTACACAGCAAATGATTGCAACATTTTATTGCACCCATAACTGAAAAGTCTTTATTTTCAAACAAACATTCTCTAAACTTAGAAAAAGACTTCGTACTCTCATTAAGCAGGCCAGTTTATTTTACTGGCTTCAGTCCTAAACTGTCATTTGAAAATAATATGCATGTGTCTTGTATAATCTGCTGAAGGTGACAAATTATTAGTACTACATAATAATTTCATGCTGTCACTTTTTAAAAGGAGAAATCCTTAAATTTCTAGAATTAACGTGCAGTTGCGTCTGACGTGTTGTGTGTGCTCTGAGGTCACGACAATGTTGTTCTTCACAGAACTATGTCAGAGTTGTAGAAGTGTGGTGGGACGAATACAAAGATTACTTTTATGCCAGTCGGCCGGAGACGAAAGCGCTACCCTATGGAGATATATCCGAGCTGAAAAAATTCCGTGAAGATCACAACTGCAAAAGTTTCAAGTGGTTTATGGAAGAAATAGCATATGATATAACTTCATACTATCCCTTGCCACCTAAAAACGTGGACTGGGGAGAGGTAAGTACGGCACATAACCTGTATTTACTTTAGGAGCTTGCTTTTTTTTTAAAAAAATCGGGAATTCAAAAGGAAGTGGTTGTCACTCGACATCAATCTGAGAACAGGCTCTTTGATTACTGCTGTACTAAGGTATGTGATACTAGCCAGAGAGCTATAGAGATACAACCCTAGGGAAAAAAAAATTACATACACTTTAAAAGGTGTGAAATTTTTTTTTAGCTCCATAGGTCCTTGAAGGATGATTTTATCTCTAGCCCTGTCTTCAGTTATGTCTAAAGCTCTTTTTTCCGTAATTGGAATTCAGGGGTTTTGTTAAAGAGGAAGAATGCGAATCCTCTGTGTGTGGGAGTATTGACGAAGATTAATAGGTGAAAACCTTTTTCTGTGAAGTGCTAGAGAATAGATCATGAAATCCAGGTGGAGTACATTCCGCCTATGTTTGCTGGGCTGGGGTGTACTCGTACAGTTTACAGCCTCAGTAAATCCCTTACCTGCATGTAATAATTTGATACGATTCCTTAACAGTCATTTCCAGCATTAGCGTATATGAGTATGACTTTACTAAACTAAGAACGTAATTACAAATTTGGCACTTTCGCGTGGTTGACAGAGACAGACAGCATGTTGCTGGGTGAGTGTGGGACACCTCACTGAACCCTGCCTGGTTTGTTCTGGCATTTAGCCCACACCTTGAGGAGCTCTTACTGCAGGTCTCCTGCCTACTTTTGGATTTATTTCTTTTTTTTTTTTTTTTTTTTTGCCCTTTTCAGTTGGTTCCAGCCTTGCCCTGTCTCTCCTATTAATTTCACTTTTGCAGATTGTGGAGGCAAAAATCAGAAAAATCATCTCTCTAGCATAGGAGGACTCCTGCGTCCCACCAAATTTAACAACCTTCTTTCCCCAGTTATGATGGACTCATTTTTGTAACTTGAAAAGAGCATTAGAAAGTACAGATCTATGCTCTTTCCTATGGCCAAGAAAGTGTCATCTCTAATTTCTCTGAGGAATTAGTGATACGGAGCGTGTGCGTGGTGGAAGGGGGTACCAATAGTCATCTATCTGAGGGACCAGGTGAACAATGCCACCTTTATTTCTTACCTAAAAGCTTGCACAAAGCAGCAGTTACTACATTAGCCTTAGACCTCCTTTTGAATCCACATAAAGGATTAGGAAGGCACGTTATGTATTACTGTTCACTGAGGTGAAAGTAGCTGAAGAGAATAAAATAATAATGGTCACCTTGTGGGAAATCATCCCTGATAAAAGCAGGCGGGTCTGGTGAAGCAGCAGGAAAGTTGGAAGTTCAGAGACTTCTCTGAAGTTTTCTTCAACTCTTCTTCAGTGGCTGCTAGTTATCCTCCATCTGAGAAATTCCCCCCCATTTGTAACACCACACTAATTGCATTTCCAGACTGTCAGGAATGAAAGTGTGGGGTTCATCTTCCCTAACACGCTCTCTGGAAGTCGGATCTAACCTTATTCCTACAGACTTTATTCTACCATCAGGAAGAAGAAAGAGGCTCTGGCGAAGAAAGTAGATCTGGAAACAATGTTATTTGTGTCATAAAGTCTTTGTAAAGCTGTTTGTTGGCCCTCCTGAGGATAATCAGCAGTTGAGGCATGCTTTCTGACAGGACTTTTGTTCTTTATCCCTGTGCTTGTGCCCACCCCTCATCAATTTTATCTCTTCCCCCCCATATAATTGCTGCTGCAGAAGGTCCATCTGAGCCTCCGGGTCAGTGGGCTGTGCCTGGCTGCAGGTAGTAACGGCCGTGCAGAACTTCTCTGCATCCCGTTTCTCTCATACGCAAGATGAGAGCAACTTAGCTGAGCTCCTGCTTTATTTATGAAGACCTGGGAGACTGAACATGCTTTGATAGGAGATTGAATAAATTAAAATACTTGAAGGTCCTACATTTCGGTGTCATTAATTTGGAACTGAGCTTTGCAACTCTAGCTTTCTCAGTGTACTCTAACTCACATAAGAGCCTGCAAATTAGCGTGGGCAGCTTGAAGCTCTGTCTCCCATAACAGTTAACATCAGTGTTTAAATTTCATACACAGGTCTGTCTCGTATCTCTCTGTCAGGTAGCTGTTTCTGGTTTGAAAGATAAGTGGGAATTTTCTGAACCCTTTCGCACTGATTTTTCCCTTGAGACTAACTTAGATGCAAAACCTCTTTTCCAGATCAGAGGCTTTGAAACATCTTACTGCATCGATAGCATGGGGCACAATAACGGTGGCTTCGTTGAGCTTGGGCCGTGCCACAGAATGGGAGGAAATCAGGTAAGGAGCTTGGAGGCAAGCCTGAAGGAGAATGGCTTGCTGTGGGTGATAACAGGCGGGTTTTCTGTTAAGCCTGTACATAAAATCACTGAAGTGCCAGCTAAAAAGATGGGACTTAGGGATTTTTCCATAAGCGTACTGACATCACTAAAGTATGGGAATCTGAAAATATCATTTCAGACACAAAGGGTACAAAATTGAAGGCAAATTCATAATCTCTTCCTCAGTGAAGCAGGTACCTGAGGAAGCAGGAACTGTGTTTTAAAGCAACTGTTACCACTGCATTAGAGTAACTGCAGCTCTTAGCGTTGCTGCTGATTCATCATTTGTCTTCACTTAATAATTAATCCTTCAGGAAACAACCCTCTTGCTCGCATTGGCTCAATTATTTCACAAAGTTGTTTTGCTCTAATGGAAGTATAAAACACTTCTGTGCAGTAACTCAGCTTCCACCACAGGAGACAAGAAATTGAATACAAATCTCTCTCTGCTTCATTTATAAATTAATTGGCAGAACATAATTACTAATAGATGGTTGCAGTCCAAGCTGCTATCGTGTTTGACCGATGTCTTCACAGACCTACCCACACTACCAGATAAACATGCTGGTTCTGTCTTCGCATCTCCTTTTTTTGGTTGGAAAACTTCTCAGAATTTAAAGTCCTTATTTATGCTGATTTAGACTTGAACCAGGCAAGTTTTGTCACAGAAGTCATGAAATCACGTGCAGGATGATGCTTTTAAAAATCATATTTGGGTTAGCTCTTAGTAACCCCTGGAAATGTCTCTTTTATTTTGCTATTTGAGGAAAAAGTTCCCTAAACTACTTTTTCTGCATATATTACCCCCCAAATCCCTGTAACAGTTATTTCATAAGAAGTAGTTAGGATAATCTTTTTGGATCTGGATGGATTAGTTTGATTTCCTCCATGGGTAAAATGCCAGAGTTTAACTGTCTTCACATGAAATTACTGTCCAGGACCAAGGACTTGCTACCAGACCTTTAGAAAGATAGTGGATTGTTTGGCCATCATATCATACAAAGGCTTTTAATCAAACACTTTCAGAAGGCTCCCAAATAGGAATCCCTTTATTTTTTATCAATTTTGTCTTGCTAGGTAAGTTTCTTAGTCTTCTAAATCCTACTGGGAAGTTATCCATGAAATTGAGTGTAGAAGTGTGTTACATCATGTAAAATAAAGAACTCTCCTGAAAAACAGGTGTAATAACACCAGAGAATATTTTGAATGATGCAAATTCCTTGGTATTTTCAGTGTTTCTAAAATACTCGTTATTTTGAGTCAACTGTTAAAAAGGTGGCTTTTTTTTTCCCCCGTTAGCTTTTCCGAATCAATGAAGCTAATCAACTCATGCAGTATGATCAGTGCTTAACTAAAGGACCGGATGGATCCAAAATTATGATTACACACTGTAATCAGAATGAGTACAAGGATTGGCAATACTTCAAGGTATGCAACAGATATATAGCAGACAAGAAATTATAATTTGCATCCTGGGTTTTTTCACCTTTTTTTTTAATTCCTTTATGTACATCTGAAAATGAAGATCTACAACAAGGTTAACTGAACCAAGTAGAGTAAATTGTTAATTGCACATTCTCAGAAATCCATGCTTACCAGGAAAGCTTCCTCTAGGGAACGATGCTTTTGGTAGCGGTTCTAGTTGCTGTCTTCTGTAGCAAAACCTTTAAGGAAAATTTCATGAGGCTACATGTGCTGCCACAGGTATGTTAGGAGTTAGCACTTGTCTTGGAGGAAGCAAAGAGGATGTCTGCTACCAGTGACAGAGTTTCTAAAAGCTTTTAGTGCCATCACCCTCTCTGCTAGTACGCTTTCTATCAAGAAAGTTTCTTTTTCTAATGTACGCCGTGAGAAGATTACTTAACGTGATGGGGTGCGTTTAGCAGCCAGGGTCGGTATTAGATCAGATTTTGGGAGGTCTAAATTGAAGTGTCGCTCTGTTTAAAGACAGAAGATCTTTTTAAGCCTACATAGCAATAGGTAAACATGGCATTACTCTTTGCCTTTTTGTGTTGTCTTTGCTTTCTTCAGTATTTCTTTTTCCTGATCGTTAACCATTCTCTAATAACATGCTCTGCTGTGAATTTTGGGTGTGGCACCATTACAAAGCTATTGCAAAATCTATACATTTGTCATAAAGACTTGGAATGTTGGCTGATATGCATGCAAGGGCTGCTACAGTCTGTGTAGTCGCTACATCTGTAAGTCCTCCATTAATAGCAGTTTTGGAAGTGTTACTTTTAAAAATGTCTAAGCTTATATTTCTGTTTGTCTCTTAAAAAATGAGACTGAATAGTCTAAGGGTGACATTACCCTTGGTTATAACCACACATAACTTGGTTCTGTGTCTAAGGAACTATTCTGTGTTGATTTTTTCTTCGGTCTACCTAGCATATTGCGTATTTATTAATTCATTAGCTGGTTATCTGGACTGGGTTTGTCTGAAAGATGTAGGCACTGTTGAGTGCAGCGAGATCTGTTTGGTACCCTTTAAGCCACTCCACTTTTTCTGGTATTTGCATAGAGCTAGGAAATACCAAGCACCATAATGCCATTTCTACCCAGCTTTCTTGTGCCGTACAGACAGACAAAATTCGTTAAACCTGAAATTTAAAAATCAATAAGCAGTGTTTCGACGCCTGCTGACTTCTGCTTTAATACTGGAATAATATACGGCACTTGTTAACTCTCCAGCCATTCTGGTGTGTCCTGGCACGTTGCTTGGCTCTTCTGTAAGCGTTTCATTTATGCAAGAAGATCCATTTCCTCCATGGTAGTACCAAGTTGTGTAATTGTTTGCTTATTACCACAAGTTACAAGGAAGCCCAGTAGGCACGGTCTGAGCTGTAGTATAAAACACCAACTGGCTTCCAAAAGAAAAAAAAAAGGGGTGGGGGGGAGAGCGAAAGGCCCACCAAGGGTGTGTAACCAAGCAAATAGTCAAAATTTGGCACACTTTGCTGTGCAGTACAGCGGGTATGACTGTTTCTTCTAATGAGGAGGGCGTAAGGAATGAAATACTCATCGACTACTGAAAAATGTTGTGGCCTCATGTAAATGAAAGCTGCCAGGAGATTTTATCTGGTTGGTCGGTGGGTTGTTTCTGGAATGAACGCTTGCGTGCTGGTTTGGTGAGCGTAACATCCTTGTGCTTGAGCATTGAGCAGCAGCAGGGCTTTGGTGCCCGTAAGCAAACATCCAGCGCAGGGCCGGCGGTGGTCTGCCTGTTGCTTTTGGTCGGGCACCTGTTTACCTCTCCAAGTCGGGGACCCCCGTGTCTGGCCGCAGGGCGGGAGCAGGTATGGAGCTGAACCAACATTTGGACGTGCACGTGTGTGTGGGAGTGATGGGGTTGATGGAGAGGGGTCCCCGTGCCGGGGAGAGCTGGGCACATGGGGTAGGGCTGCGGAGCCCGGCCGCAGTGCTGCAGGTTTGCTTCTGCTCCGTTGGGGTCTCTGCTCTAGGTGCAACCGGTCAGCAAGTCCAGGCTGCATCTGGCGCAGGCAGGAGGGGAGCCACAGGCCACTTTGCAAATTCGTGAGGCTCCAGCGTGGCAGCACGGGGGCTGTGAAAGGAGCCAAAGGTGCAAATGGCAGCCTGGATGTGCTAGGCGCAATGGGTCTGCAGTTCCTGAGGCAGCCTCCTGTTACTGCAGGGGCCAGACTTGCTCTCGCACCCTCTTCTCTTCCTTCTACCAGCCAAACAGGGAGCTAAGTTAGTGGTTTATATTTTTTTTTCCCAGTGTGGTTAATGTTGGTGCTGTGCGGTTGCTTTATGTGAGGGCTAACCGAGGGAGTTTCTGCCCAGTGAAGTCAGTTCTCATAGAGCTGTCCTCGAGAGTTAATCTTTTGGTTTGGTTACAGGATGCATGAAAAGGCTTGGAAGTTTTTTAGACACAGGTCTGCTCGTTTTCTTAGCGGCTTGTTGCCTAAGAGAAATGGAGGCATCTCTGGCGGACCTACACGTATGAAACATTTCATGATACGAAGGCTGTGAAAGCCTAGGTTCAACAAATAGTAAAATGAGTATAGAACTGATCTGTTCTGGGACTCTGAAACCCGATTTTATAAATAGCTATATTGCAGTTGTGAAGAAAATGTTAAAAAAAAAAAAAAAAAAATCCAAACAAACCCAACACATGTTCCTAACGGTTTTGTTTTCCAGAATCTGCACAGATTTACTCACATTCCATCAGGGAAGTGCTTGGATCGCTCCGAAGTCCTCCATCAAGTTTTCATTTCAGAGTGTGACTCCAGTAAAGCAACGCAAAAATGGGAAATGAACAACATCCTTAGTGTGTAGACAGACAAAACCTACCTACTGACACGTTAATTTGTACAGGACTGAAAATAGCCTGAAAACTGCTGCAATTATTAACTCTGTACAGCTGCGAGCCTCCCGGCTTGGATGAAGGACATAGAGGAACTGTGATTATTACAATAACATTATCATCCGCAGTTAATGTTTACAAAACTGCTTTACCTTAAACTCTGTAGATGTTTACATCTTTTTGTTTTAAGATGTCGGTAAATTAATGTGCTGTTAGCTATGTTTCATAGCAGCATAGCTAAAAGCGTTGTCGTCTTCTTTGGGATTACACTCAGGGGTCTGAAGGCAGTTTTTTTACACACACTTGAAAAGGTTGGGGTAACCAGATTTTCATAGAACTTGGTGATTATCAACCTGTTGTATAGTTTAATTTTACATCTTACTAAGCACTGCCACAGGTTATTAGCCAGGGTGGCCTTCTCTCACAGTCATGCTGCTTTTTTGGAAGGTGAATTTCAACATATTTAGTGCCTCTTTCATTTCTCTCTTTCACAAGAAAAGCATTTGTTGGAAATTATACAGTGGATTTTTCTGAGCTGTCACCAGAGGAAGGGACCAACCATACCACCCCCTGTAGTTATTGTGTTACCGAAGACACATTTCTGTTGCCAGTTCGGCTGCTGTACTTCGACTGGACGCTTTGTACGGTGCAAGGAAGAGCTTAGCATCGAGTTCAGTGCTGATGTGGTACATTTTGATGGAAGTAAGCACCTCGTGATTCCAGTTAAGAATTTATAAGCACTAACTTGCTTGTTTAAACCATGCCTTAGAGAAAAGTAATTTTTAAATAAATAAATAAAGCTGCACAATTATGTCAAACTTAGAAAGAATCCAATGCTTCCTTTATATTGTTATTTTAAATGGGAAATCACTTAGAAGTGGACTAAAACTTTAAATTACGAAAAACCATCCAGCTTCTTAGCACATCTCCATAATTCTTTACAAGGACATCTGTCAGCTAGCTTGGATGCCAGATTTAGATTTGAAAAGAGAAATGGAAATCCTGAAACCACATTTATTCATACTAATTTTTTTCTTATTTTTGTCATTGGAAGCTTCTCCTGAGGGATTACAAACACAAACTACAGGCACTCGGTGCTATAGTATACAGAATAGAACGTGAAGAAGGAGTTTCTAAAAATGTTCTGGAAAGGAGTCAAGCAAACTCCCTTAGGAGTATAAATATTTACTCTGAATGAACAGGGAGGTGGAGGAGAAATGAGTTTATCCTCACTTCCTTATTCCAGATTTTGTGACTGTTAAATGTTGACAACGGTGTGCTGATTTCATAAGAGTTATGCCTATAACATGTCACACTATTAAATACGACTAAATACTTTCCTGAAGTCTAGAGTAGCATTGCATGCAGCTTCCATTGATGTTAACAAGGGTTACGTATCCTATTTGGTGACAGAGTTTGATTTTTATAGGGCTGTCTGCACTGATCTGTTAGTTCGGGGTCTTTCCTAGGTTCTTTAAACTTCTCATCTATCCTTTCAGAGCTATGAAAAACAGAAAATAAAGGAGGGAGAAACTGGAGAAAAGGAAAAAAAAGAAAAAAAAAAAAAAAAAAGGAAAAATAAGGGGGTGTGCCGGTACATGTTCCTTGTGTGTATGAAAACTGACTCCATTTTTGTGTGTTGCGTAGATTAATTTAATCATACGACTATGCATAAGAGAAAGAATGGTGGCACGTAAATTGTGCGGCTGTGCAGTTTAAATGGGTATTTTGTGCAATTCATTGAAAGCTGATGCTGTATGTGAATATGAGTCTGTATGTGAGACTGAAACCTTGCAGAACACGAGATCACAAGAAGCTGTTGCTGTAATGACTTTTTCCTACTATAGCCAGCTTGGAAAAAAATAATTCCCATATTCTTGCTTTGTAAGTTGATGACAATATCACTATGCATTTCTACATATTTTATAAATTTGATTTATGCAGATTTTGATACACTGTATGTTTCTGTAGAAATTGTATAAATCTTTAAAAAATTTATTAGGGATAAATCTGGGAGACCTATGTATATCTTATGGGTTGCTTGTTTTTTAGATGACGTAAATAAAATATTTGAATTTTTGGGTTTACTATACTTTTACTGAGTAAAAACGGATTATTACCTTTATAGGAGCACCCCGTATCTCAAAATCTAGACAACTTCAATGTTACAAACTTACAAATATTAAAAGCGTTTTATTTTACTTTTTTATCTAGGTACTTTTTGTGGCATCTGTGGGGACTCACGTTTTTTTTCTGGTGAAGTGAAAAAATGAAATTCCCACCAAGAGTTGCCACGTGGACATCTTTGGATTTTTGGATCACCTGCCCCGATCTGATTAGCTAGGTTATTGAATATGCTCATAGAAAATGAACTTGAGAATGATTTCTGAAGTAGAACCAAAGGGCAGGACTAGTAGGTAGTGTTTTAACTCTATATTTTATCTTAGTCTGTTTATGTTTCCACCAACAAACATGTTTCAATCAATTATTTTTTTTTATTTTTTTTTTTGCTGCTGAGACAGTTTCTTAGCAAAAGGGCATGCAGTTAAATCAGGACACAGAAGACACAAGTTCTGGCCTAAGAGCAAACCTGAATGTTGAAATCTACAGTGCCTTTTCGGAGACAGGATTCTTGTTTCCCAGCCGCATCTGTCAGCGCCCTGCTGCGTGTTCAGATTTCGAAAGGCTCCTTCGGCAAAACCCTGGGGCAATAACGGCAGCCAGATCACGTAGGGAATACCCTTTTATGTATGGAAACAGCGACTGATGGGAAAGAGGGGAGAGATCCGAGCACCAGGAGAGCCAACAGCACCCTTTGGGCAGTACCTAAGACACTCTCTCTGTTGATGGCATCCTAGAGTCAATTCATGGTCTTTCTTAATCTCCTTTACTGCTATCTGCTGCTTCCATACCACCTGCCTCCAAATTGCAGTCCCTAAAGCCACAAGTTAACAACTTAACTGCTCTTGAAACTGGACCGAAAAGGCAGAGATCTGTTACACTATGCCAGAGATGTAAAAATTTTTTGCTTATCTCCGATCTGTGAGACTTCTCACAAGAAAAGAGAAAACATACCGCTGCCTATAAAAACACAAAAGATGATTTGGTAGATTTTGCTATATATCACACGCAATTTGCCCTTTGGGTTGAAAAAAATCAAATTGTGCAAGATCCGTGGAGGCATAGGAATAAGGAGGGGAATTGCAGAACATGCAGAAGAAATTACCTACGCCATTGAACACAAACTGGTTTTGTTGAGTTTCGGGTTTTTTTTGTAAAAGCATGTATTGTTTGTTCCCTGCTGGTGAGCTTAGACCCATCAATTCTAATAGGTGAAAAGAAACAGCTTGGGAAAAAGAAATCAGCAGTGTTTCTGGTTGTTGTTCTCCTTGCTATAAAAGGCATGGGAACGCTAGGTCTTGCTGTGCTCTGAAATCTTATCTTGCTTACGCTTGTGAGAGGAATCCTTGAGAAGTGTCAGTGGTTATCTTCCAGGGCAATATTTACCTTCTGGGAACATCAGAAGTTGTTGCCAGCGTTAGTCCTCTGGTTGTTGGCTTTACTTATGCCACAAGCCGCCTCTGAACTCCGGTGGTGTTGGCATTGTAAGTTGTGTAGCTTAGCTGGCGCTGTGTAGGAGGACTCTCTACGTAGAATGAATCTAGGTAGAAAAAGTCACTAACTATCAAAAAACGTAGGTGAGTTTGCCTCCCTTTGGGGTTAATAAATAAAAAGTACGTAAATGGTGAGTGATGCCTGAAGCCTCTTTGTCCCTCCTTTCACTGTGGGAAGCTTGCGGTCACCCCTCGCACGCTGCTGCCACGAGCGTGGGCATCGGTGCCTGCGGCCTCGCTCGTCGCGCCCTCAGCTGGGTTAGCTGTCACGGGGCACGGCCAACAGTGGAAGAGGCGTTTGTGCGGGTTATACATTGCGGTAACCCAGTTGGAGGTTAGCAACCTTTGGGTTTTTTTAATCTTAAAAACATAGTCTGTTCTTTATGCTGAGAAACAAGTTAAGTATTCTCCGTTAGCATGTAACATGGGTCCTGGTAAAAGAAAAAAGATGCTGTCTGCACAGCCCTTGGGGGTTTTACTGCGTTGCGCTGCTCTGCGGCTGTTCTGGCTGGAGTCTCTTCAGCAGGGTAGTGGCAGAGCTCATGGTCCAATGGATCTTAACTGACTGATGCACGTTCCTTCAGTTAACAGGTCGACGCAGGTGACGAGGATCAAAGCCTGTAAGGAGGAGTTAGAGCCGTTCAAACACCGAGATGAAAAGGTATGTTTGCCTGTTAGATCTCTTCTTTTTCTCACTAAAACACTTCACCAAAAAAGAAACGCTATTGTTTTAGGGACGAGAAGCGTGCCCCATCCGAAGCGGAGCGCAGGTAAAGCAGGGCTGAGGGCTAGGTGGGTCCTGCAGCTCTCGGGGATGCGATCCTTCAGCGTGAAAGCAGAACTGCCTCGGGGGGGCTGCCAGGCCAAACAGCCCGGCCACGTCTCTTGTGCAAGAGTCGTGTCTCCTGCACGAGAAGGGAGCAGAAAGCGGGGAGAAGCAGCGTAGCACTAACTCATATTAAAACCAAAACAAACTCTCGTGCCTGAGATGCGTGTGATGGCAACAGCAGCCCTCTGGCTGAGCGTCCCAGGGGTCCTGAGAGGGGAAGGGAAAATGCGTGGTGAGATGATGTTTTCTGTTTCTGGAAAGGGCTGCTGGCGGCAGCGTGTGTCGGTCAGGGCGGCAGCATGCCCAGACGGCTGTCAGCACACAGGCTTCAAATGAAGATAAAGAAGTCCTGCTTGGGGTAGGCTTTCTAAATCGCTTGAAGGCACTAGAGTGGAAATAGGAATCAAAATCCAGCCTTTTCCCTTGAAATGTGTGGAAGGATTTCCCCAGGAAAATAGTGTAGGCTGGACAAGCCCTGGGGTTAAGCGGTGGTGGATCTTTAGCGAGTGGGTGCGTGTGTCCGAGTTGGGCCTGTCACAAGGTACAGCATTAGCGCTTCGGGGTAACAGCTGGGCCAGAGCCATGGGGACTGGTACCTCCATTCCTGAGGGCTCTTGGGTGAAAACGTGCTTCCCGCAAGCTGTGCTTCCACACAGCCGGGGATCTCATCCCACCGGGAAGCGCCGTGGCATTCTGTGGTACGCTCGGGAGAGGCCGAGCCCTGCCTGGCAATGGAGGCCTTGCTGGCCTGAGCCTGCAGGACGGCTGACGCTCTGCGAGGGCCAGAGTCCTCGAGGCCGTTGTGACTGCCCAACAGGCAGCTGCGATTGCAGTTTCTGTCTTTTAATTTCTGAGGCAGCAGAAACAACAAAAGCAGGACTGGGTGAAAGGAGAAGCCTGCTGGAGGATTCTTGTGGTTTCATAAGAAGGGGAGATTTGGGAAGAGTTGGCCAGGAGTAAAGGCAGGCCACAGCGGCACTGTGGAATGCCCTGAAGCCCTCCCTGTCCCGAGGGTGCCAAGGCACCTCTGGCGAGGGAGCTCCTCAGCCGGGCGATGGGAGGGAGAGCTGCCTGCCCTGCCGTCTGGGAGCGGAGGTAAGGCGGCTGCGGTGTCGCCGAGGAAAACAGCTCTGTAACCCTACAGCAGCGTGGGGTCTGGTGTTAAAGCTATTGGGATAAAGTAATGTTGAACTGGGATAGGAACCACTCCTTTGGCCTTTTTTTTTTTCTTTTGGCGCCTCTTACGGCATCCCATTATCTTCCATGTGATGATTACAAGAGG